ACTTTTTGGGGTTAATGTCTTTCTGTCATGTTTTTGCTGTGTGTGTGTGTGTGTGTGTGTGTGTGTGTGTGTACATGCATTTTAGTGTATATGTGCGAGCGCGTGTGTTTGTGTGTGTGCGTTTTATTGAGTATTTGCGCGTGCATGTAAGTAAGTATATACGTGTGTGTGACTGTGTGCATCTGTGTGTCTGTCTGTGTATATGTTTACCCCTATGATTCATCTCCTTACTATAAACATGTAACTTCCGTTTATTTACTTTCACTTACATATTTCCTCTTGTGTACATCTATTTATCGAATAAAATACATACATTATAATTTCAAGATTCACTGTGCGAAATTATATGTGCTATGTTATATTATATACATATGTATGATTATAGGCACAACTTATATTCGGTTCTCTAAAATCTGCCACTTAACCTCTAAAATCTATCCCTATACCTCCAAAATCGGTCCCGTCTCCCCAAAAATCTGTCCGTGGATCTACGAAATCTGTGCATACAACTACAAAATCTGTCTTTACATCTCAAAAAAGGGGAAGGGTAGGAATGGTGTGAGTAAGGGAGGAATTAGAGGAAGGGGAAGAGGAGTGAGAAGGAGAGGAGTAGTGAAGGGAAGGGAGGAGAAGTAAGAAGGGAAAAGTAAAGGATAGATAGATGCTGTAGATAGATAGATAGATGAGAGAGAGAGAGTGAGAGAGAGAGAGAGAGAGAGAGAGAGAGAGAGAGAGAGAGAGAGCAACAACAGTAAAAACACACAAAAACAAACAAACAAGGGAAGCAACAACAGAAAACGGATCCAACTAAAACGATACAGAACTAAAATAAAAAAAAAACGCAAAACCTCCAATCAGGTGAATTTCAGTATAAAATATATATTGCCAACGAGGAAATGTCTACGATTTGTTTATCCGTAAAAAAAAATAGTAAAACTGTGTCGTGAAATTATGTGAAAGAGCGCTGGAGGCTGACAGATGGGTACGATTTTGTTAATGATATGTAAATAAGCAAGTTCTTCTGGGTGATATTATATTAGAGGGATGTATTTACCTGAGCGGTGCTTCCAAGAGACGTGAGGATGAGGATGATAATGATGTAGGTGATGATGATGAGGATAACGATAATGATGATAATGATGCTGATGATAATGATAATGGCAAGAAAAACAACGGTGATAATAACAATACAGGTAATTACAATGGTTAATAACACAGGTGAAGAAAAGAAGAAAAAGTTCATCCATGTTAAAACTGTTAATCATCCTCAAAGTTTACAAACCGTAACACAACATGATAAAAATTACGTGGCGTTTCGTTGGTTAAATTTTTCTGCGCTATTTGTCTGTTGGTTGTCGGTCGGTCGGTCGGTCGGTGGGTCGGTCGGGGTGTTGGTCGGTCCGTCGGTCGGGTGTAAGAGGACATTCTCCCTTTGAGTAAATCATCTGTAATGGTATAACATAGTGTTTGGAAATACGCCATCGCCACCACTTCATATCAAAGGCATTCTTCTCTGTGTGTGTGTGTGTGTGTGTGTGTGTGTGTGTGTGTGTGTGTGTGTGTGTGTGGAGTCCTCCTTTAATCTTATCTGGTTGAGTGACACCGTCCTCATCGCTGTCACTCCCTTCGTTACACCATCGCTACTGCCGTCATTAACACCTTCGCTTCAGCTGTCTACGTACCACCTGGTCTCAATGTCCTCCTCCTCCCTCTCCGTCGTCATGTAATCGATCCCTCCCGCTGCAGGGTGTCTCAGGGAGCTTCACTTTCTTCAGGAGGGGCAGTGGAGCGCCTCTCGGGGGTACATTGCATGTCATTAAGCCCTCTGCCTGTACTGTGGGCCGGCGGGGCGATCCATCACCAGCCCGTATAAACGCTCCACACTACCTACTATATATTCATGGCATATCCGCGGGGGGAAGGGACAGGGCCAAGCTGGACCTGCCATGATCTACGACTGCCATTACAATGATGAATTCTCGGCACTCACACAACAAGGCACTGGTGACAAGGGGTCATTTCTGAGCTCCCCACCTCCTCCTCCTCCTCCTCCACTACCACTACTACCACCACCACTGCCACTGTCACCACCAACACCACTACTACCAGTATCACCACCATCCCATTCCTTCTTTTAACCTCCTCCTCTTCCTCCACACTACCTGCACCAGCCTTACTCCTTTGCACCTTTCCTCCTCTTTGCTCTCTATCTCTCATTTTCTCTTCCCCTTCCTTCTTCCTCTTCATCTGTCTATGCTGGTGTCTTCTGGTTAAGGCATGAAGCGTGGCGGCGATGATGTTAGTGGTGGTAGAAGTGGTGATGATGGTGTTAGCGGTTGTGGTGTTGATGGTGATAAAGTTGGTAATTTAAATAGTGTTGATGAAGGTGAAAATTATGGTAGTTACTGGAGGTGGAATACACGATAAAAATAATAGTGGTAGTGGATGATGTTTTTGGTGGCAGGGACATTGGCTCTGTGGTGAGGAAGTATTGGCAGTGATGGTGATGGTGGTAGTGATGGTGATGGTGGCGGTGATGGGAGCATTTGAGAACCAGGGGCTTTTGTGTGTGTGTGTGTGTGTGTGTGTGGTTGAATTAAACTCAAGATAGGCAGAACACGAGTACGGTACAATATATAACAACACGTTCTACACACACACACACACACACACACACACACACACACACACACACACACACCTTCAGAGGAACATGAAAGAGAGAGGTAGACAAGCATAAGACAAATTCTTGCACACTTTACCAATGAAAAATAACCCATTTCTATACACGCTTCCAAGTTTGTTTGTAGTGAGAGCTGACAGTGTGTTGAAAGCTCCCACCTGCTAGGATAAAATATGTCGAGGGGCTGTTTTTTTACTTCCTTGAATACGTGTGGATGTTTTGACAAAATGAGACGTGCATGAAGGCGATCTATAAGCAGTTTGACGTGAGACAGGCGACGCGAGGTGGATTATGTCGCGCTTAGTGAGGCAGGGAGGGAGGAAGGGTGGGTGGGTGGGTGGGTGGGTGTAAGGGTTGGTGGTAGGGAGGGAAGGTAGGAGAGTGGATGTTTGAAAGGGAAGAAAGGAATGAGGGAAAGAGGGAGAGGAGAGAGGGAAGGGAGGATAGGAATGAGGGAAGGATGGAGAGATAGAAGGGGGAGAGGAGAGGAAAGGGGGAGGGAAAAAGAAGGGAAGGAGGGAGAGAAGGATGGATGGAGGTAAAAAAAAGGGAGGGAGGGGGGAGGAGAAGAAAGGAGGGAAGTACAAAAGAAGGGAGAGAGAGAGAGAGAGGAGGGAAGGAACGAATTTGGTGGACAAGGAGATGGAAATGGTCTTCTGTGTGTCAAGGTAATTACTTAGAGCACAGGTAAAAGTAATTATCTAGAATACATGTAAAGGTAATTAGCTAGAATACATATAAAGTAATTACTCAGAGCACAGGCATAGGTAATTAGAGCACAGGTAAAAAAATAGTTAAAACACAGGTAAAGGTAATTAGTTGGAATACATAAGATAATCACTGTTAGCGCAGGTATAGGTAATATATACTCAGGGACAGAGAACCAGTGGAAGTGTTAATGTGCATAATGTGACTGATCGATTAATGGATCTCTTGTAGTGACCCATAACTTTGTTTCACGACTTCTACTGAATTATTAAAGAAGTGATTTTCTTAAGAATTTATTTGTCGTCTCAAGAACCTGTAGCTGTAACTTTAAATCACAAGTCGTATGGGACACGTAATTTCATGCAAATCACCGTATTAATAATGCAATAAAAACAATGGGTGGTGATAATTTGGTAGTATTACATTGGATCAATATACTACCTCTATGTAAATTGACTTAATGGGTGGAAAAAAATATGAGAAAATATTATTTACATTTTTACACATTAAAAGTTGTTTCTGAATGTCTTGAATCCACAAGAGTCATTTTGGAGCACCTGAAAGACCTTTTTATTCACGAAGAAAATGGGTTTGATACTCTGATGGACGTCGTCGTTGAGAGGGTGACTAAAGCAAATATTCCTTTGTATGTCGAGCTGTCGGACCCTACTTTGTAAACGTGTATATGCTGGAAATATGTTTATGGAAAGGCATGTTTACATAATTAGGTGTGGCCTCGTGGGTTTCTGATCTTTTGTCAACAATTGGACAATGGGAAGGGAGGGGACGAGAGATGGGGGAGGGGATGGGGGATGGAAAGGAGGCATATATATATGGAAGGGGAAGATAGGGGTGGACTGACAGTATAGAGTAGCAAGAATTGTTTCCTGTCAATGGAATATGTTAAGCCGATTTCCATTATTTTCTTCGGGTCACTGCAACACAGAGTCTGAGGGTTGGTGACCGCGGCCCACCACTCCAAACGAAATCGACTACTTACCTTCACTAATCCTCCCAGATTTTACATATCTACGACGACTACAGATTTTAATGTCTCATCAAGGCCTCAAATCTTATATAATTTTCTACTTCTTCTCTTCTCTTTTTCTTCTGTCCCCTCCTCTTCTTCCCCCAACATTCTCCCTCCCTTTATTGCCACTCCCCTTCCCCACCCTTTGCTCTGCCTACGCTTGCATGTATTGTGTATTGATATGAAGGGGGGAAGGAGGAGTAGGAGGAGGAGAAGAAGAAGAAGAAGGATAAGAAGAAAGAGAAAGAGAGATGGATAAGACAGGTAATAGCTGAAAATTGATGATGATGATGAGAGGGAGGGGGGGGAGGAGGGAATAGTAGGGGAAGGGGGGACAAGCAGAGGGGGGGCTCATTAAGGATATTTAACAGCGAGGGGAGGGTAGATGGAGGAGGGGGAGTGGGGAAGAGGGGGAGGGAGAGAAAATGAAGGACAGGGAAGGGAGGGAAGTGCAAGGGGGAAGGAAGAGAAAGGGAGGGACAGGGAAGAGAGGGAAGGGAGGGAAGTGGAAGGGGGAGGGAGAGAGAAGGGAGGGAAGTGTTGGGGGGGTGGAGGGAGAGGGGAGAGAGAGAATGAGCTCTTAAGGTGAACAATTACTTATAAAAATGATGAAAATAAGCACGGGGCTCACACAGGTATAATGAGCGCAGGTAATGATTTAAACATGATGAATGGACGTGATTATCTGGCAACAACAAAGAAGGTGAACATAAAACGCCCCCGAGTTTAAGGACATTATACTAGTTAAAGGTACTTGGGAACTGCTCGTTAGCTCGTTACGCGTTATTGGAAACTTTTAGGGAGAGAGAGAGAGAGAAAAGAGAGTTTGGAGAGACCCGTATCTAAATGACCTTGTACATCTTGGGGCAGAAGATCTTACGTCACACACACACACACACACACACCTCAAAATATCAGTACTATTTAGTGAAATATATCTATGATAAGGCCTGAACAAAGTACTACGGATTAACGATGTACTACACCTGAACAATATACTAGGACTGAACAGTGTACTACACCTCATCAGTGTACTACGGATGTACAATGTACTAGTGCTCAACAATGTACTACGGATGAACAATGTACTATGGCTGAACTATGTACTAGGACTGAACAATGTACTAGGACTGAACAATGTACTAAGACTGAACAATGTACTAGGGCTCCACAATGTACTAGGACTGAACAATGTACTTGGGCTGAACAATGTACTAGGACTGAACAATGTACTAGGGCTCCACAATGTACAATGGTGTGCCTGTGGGTGAAGTATTAAGAGTAGCACAGTGAGTCTCTCTCCTTGTATTAGCCTGTAAAACAATTGTTCTTTTTTGTGGTGGCAGCAAAAATAAGTCAATTTTGCATACGAAACCTGCTTAATTGTTTAAGAAAATTACTATTACAACGTAGAAATACCCGAGTGATTTCTTAGAAAGAAAAACAAATATATATTTCCATTTAGTTGATGACAACACAACAGTGAACTTTGATATATTATCGAAATATATAAATATATATATACTTTATATAACTGAAAATATATAACGCTGAAAATATATATAATAGTGAAAAAGTTAGAGGTAGATGCATGCTGGAGCAAGAGTGACGCCAGGGCACTAACCGACACCTTCTTCCCCGCAGGTGAAGATCTGGTTCCAAAACCGGCGGTCAAAGTACAAGAAGATGATGAAGGCAGTGCAGACTGTTGGGCCGGGTGCTCCCCAGGGGGCGCCTGTGGGGCCCGGCTCCCCTCTCAGCTCCTCCCCCTTGTCTGCCACCTCCCCCCTGCAGACCTACTCCACCCCTACCCCTCTTAGCCCCCCTCCACAGACACAGTCCCCTAGCCAGATCCCCTTGTCACAGTCCTCAGCTCCTCCTCTCTCCCAGCCCCCGCCTCTCACCATTCTGGTCCCCACCTCTCACCCTGCCCTGGGCTCCCTCCCCATGGCCCACCTCCACTCTGGCCAACACCCACAGCATCCCCAACCCCAGCTAACACCCTGCCCACCACCCCACTCCCTCTCGCAACCTCCACACCCACACCACCCACCCCATTCGGCTTCCCCTCACTCCCACCCACCACCCTCACACTCTGTCCAGCTGCCCCCGCACGCCCACGGGCCTCCCCATCACCCGCCCACACCCACTAGCCAGTCGCACGACAACCATGGTTCGCCCCACCTGTGTCCCCCTGGCCCGCCCGGGGCGCCGTGTCCACCTCCGCCCCAGCACCACATGAACCACCAGCCCCACGGGGGATACATGCCGCCCACCTCCATAGCACCGCCCGTATCCTCGGCTGACCACATGTCGCTGCCACCCTCCGCCTCGTCGCCCGGGCTGGCAGCTTACCAGTGGGATGTGAAGCCGCCCGTGTCGGCGCCATACATGTACTCGTGGTACTCCCCTGACCAACAACATCTCCTCACCTAAGTCAACCATTTTACACCGCTGGTAACCCGGGCCACTGGCTACCGCAACTTACAGGGCCACAGAAGTATTCTGTGTGGTCCAGCTACGGCCCGCTGTGTGGCCCACTCGTGGCCCGCGGCAAAGTTGCCGGGACCAAAGATAACAAGAGCAGCCTTAGCGACATCCCAAAGATTTCGTGCAATAAACTCGCCATATTGGCGATGACATGGAGGTAGTGGTGGCAGGGTGAGGTGTGGCCTGCCCAGGTGAGCCACACCTGACCCAGCTGGCAGCCACAGCGGGTCAGGAGCAGTTGGAGTGATGCACCGCAGGACCTGTGCCAAGTGGGAGAACAGGGCGGCTGGTAGTTGAGAAGAGTATTGTTGTCGGAGCAGCCTGACCCGCCGTTGTCAGGTGTAGAGGCTCACCACTACAGCTCTCACGGACCCGTCTCTATATATTGTGCAAATGAATGTTTACTGGTAGAAGTTGTTTAATTGGTTCACCAACCCTTTTATATAGTGATCTGGCCTAACAAGCCACAGTGTTTTATAGTGACGTGGTTCACCAAGTCTTAGTGTTGTGTGGTGATATGCCACAGCAGCAACGTTTTATAGTAAACAGGTTTACCAAGCAACCCGCTGTGCTTAACTACTACAAGTTTAACACACCATTTTGTAATTTTTATACTGGTGTGGGTGTGGCGGGGGTGTGGCGGGGGTGCTGGCTGGCCTCCCACACTCCATAACCCTGAGGTAACCTGCTGGGCCGCCACACCCACACCTCCAGTGACCCTGATGGTGTTGGAGACGGTGCAATGGTCGTCAAGGCCAGGGGCTCTCAACGCCTCTTCAAGGAGCAGTGTGTGTGGAGGAGGGTGGTGGCAGTGGGCGGCGGTGCAACACTGGAGACTTCATAAAATTTATATATGTATATATATATATATATATATATATATATATATATATATATATATATATATATATATATATATATATATATATATATATATATATATATATATATATATATATATATACACATATATATACACATAGGTGGTTGTAGTACAGCAGTGGATGATTGGAGACGTTATCTTGTACAGGGGTCAACAGAGACCTTGTGAGGAGTAAGGCCAGTGGTCGGGGGTAGAGTCGCCGACCAGGACACTTTACAGCACCAAAAAATTGCCAAAATAAAGTAAAGCGGAAAGTTAGTTATCAAAGTCTAGGTGACCACAGGTGCACACTTATTAACTTTGCTTCTCTTGTTGCTCTAATCACCTGCCAGGGCGTCAGTCTCTCTTTCTCTCTCTCATCTCTCCGTCTCTCTCTCATCTCTTATTTATATTACAGTAAATAAATACATATAGATATATCACTGTACATATCCAGATGACTTTCCTTGCCCCTGCATCTTGCCTTGTACAAAGCTGTGTCTCAAATTAACTTAAAAGATATTTTTGATGTAAATTATACTGTGCGTCTGTGTTCCATATTCAGTATAATAAACCTCAGCTTATTGTACCTTATGGTTTTAATTTCGTATCCTGTGTGTGTGTTTGTGTGTGTGTTTGTGTGTGTGTGTGTGTGTGTGTGTGTGTGTGTGTGTGTGTGTGTGTGTGTACGTTTGTTATAACACAGAGTACCTGGTGTTTATGTTTAACACAACTATCGACAACATCAGAGGAGGAGGAGGAGGAGAAAAGGAAAGAGAGAAGGAGAAGAGGAGGAGGAAGAGAAAAAATAAGAAAGAGGAAGAAGAAAAAAGGAGGAGAAGGAAGAGGAGGAAGAGAAAACACTATTCATTGTGACAACCAAGGAAGTGACGAAAACAGAACAGAAGAAAACAGATGACAAAAGAGAGAGAGACTTAGTGAAATAATGTGATAATCTTATCTTCATTAAAAGCTTTACCTCAACTCCACTACTTTTCACTTTATCTTGAACAGTTCCAAACTCGAAACACTTATCATTCGAGTCAGTTTGGGAGCTTTATGGGTTCGAATGCCGTAAGACACCCATATTCATACCTACGGGTGACTATGTATGTTGGTGATCTGTCAGTGTTATATCTGCAAGTCAGTCGAAGTAATCTGATGGAATGTCAACTTATATATTGTGTATTACATCATTATCCTGGATATTTCTTCATCTTTTAAATGAGAAATGGTGTTCAGGAGAGCATATAGCCGATTTTGTTACCCCACAATCTGACCTGACCTGACCTGACCTTGCTGCGCCTTTTGGATTATTTTTTCTATTATCATTTGTGCCTTAATGAAGCTAATAAGCAATTGTTTGTATTTATTGTCTGATATCTAGTAATTATTAATTCCTTCCCCACCCAAATATATTGCGAGTATTTGGAAGATCTATATTTCAACACTTGAAAACGATAATGGCTTATCATCATCCTTAAGGAGTTAACTTATCATTCACAGAGGATTATACCATCATCCTAAAAGTGTTAAACCATCTTCTTCAAATGGTTAAATCACTGTCCTCAAAGGGATAATCAAAGAATCATCATCATCATCATCATCACCATCATCATCATCATCACAGTTTTGTGGCCATTTTCTACGCTGGTGAGGGCTAGCCTTTATCACCTGATAGCATGGTACCCCGCTTACCACCAAGGCTGAATGTCCTTTCTTAAGGCCCGTACACACTGGGATTCATGAAGCGCGCCGTGATGCTCATGGTGTTGCTCTGACTTGTTTTTCGTGTTGCGGGAGACCCGCGCACACTGATCGGGCGAACTCTGGCGCGAGACGTGAAGCAGCAACTTGATGGCCAACTTTTACACCATATTTATTTATTTTTCTTTAGAATTTTCTTTTCTGCACAACATAAAGCCACCACAGTCTCCTGTACCCGAGCGTCCTTACTGTCTCTCTCTCTCTCTCTTGTGCAAGTCAACGACTGGTGTGGATGTTGCAGACAGTAGGCTGCCAGTGTGGACTGTCTCCCTCTTTTGCATCACCGCGCGTGAGAAGTCCGCATCACGGCGCTCATCATGAGCCCCAGTGTGGACGGGCCTTTACAACAACCCAGAGTGAGAACTGGGCTTTATGTGTTGGATTTCCAAGCGCCCTCTCAGCTGGCTAGGCAGAGGGTCTCAACGAGAGCTTGACCGTCACAGATAAAAAGTTTGAGGACCGCCTCTAGAGGTGTGTTTAGTATGTATCTACCAACACCTTCTCAGGGGATGATCTAGGAGAGCTCTGGGGGTCCGGACCCTCTACCAACACCTTCTCAGGGGATGATCTAGGAGGGCCCTGGGGGTCCGGACCCTCTACCAACACCTTCTCAGGGGATGATCTAGGAGGGCCCTGGGGGTCCGGACTCCCCTTTTCATCAGAAATTTCAACACTTTTTCTTTAACACGATATTGTACTCAGACATTTTTGAATAGTAAAAAGTTATTACTATTGGCCTCAGACTATCTCCTAATGTCAAGTACGAGGGCTTCAAAATAGCATCAAAATGGTCATGATATTGGTCAGATATAAAAAAAAATTCCTGGGGTCTTACAGCGCCCCCCTAAGCCTCCCCAGCTGGGTGGGCTCGCTGTGCTCGCCATGTTCCCCCACCCACAACTTCTTGGACCCTCCATTTTGGTATTACTGGATCCGCCCGTTTCTCTTTATATTATTAACACTATTATATATGACACACCGTACAGGAACTAGGAAATACTTTTGTCGTATGATAAATGAACAAAATAAAAAAAATCTAAAATAGAAGATAAATAAATAGATTGGATAAATTATTATAAATTAAACAAAAACAAAGCGAGATATTAACTTCTTCACCACAATGTTTATTTCAGGTGTTTATTTTAATAAAGAAACTGTTTACTGTTTGTGTTTACTGTTTATTTACATATGACCTTCACAGTGTTTAAGAGTTTTGGTCACGTGTAGCAACTAAGAATTAGTGAACGGTACTTAAAGACCCTGCTGTTGAAGCACCTAAGTACACTGAAACAACAAGGAAGGCGTTTCTCACAGCCTGAATTAAGATTAACTAACCCACTGTGTCTCATGCCAGCATCTATCTTGCTTCACTGCTTCAAACTGGGACGAACCACTTGCTGCAGTTCAGACTGATATGTCCAGCATGCTCCATATCCTCATTTTGAAACAACTTCCTTGCTTCACTACTTCTAAAAACTGAGATGACGCATTTGCTTCACTGCTTCGGACTGGAGCCTCCTCACTTGCTTCACTTCCTCAGACTGTGGCATGTCAGTACTGTGACTCAGAGTTTCTCGAGATGATTCACAATGAACCAGTTCCGAGACATTCCTCGAACCACCTGCTTCAGAGAGCGCCCTGAATTAGATAAATGGCGCCCTGTCTCCGGGAAGAGGCTCTCCTTGTTTGTTAAATGTTCCACTCCTCACCCCAGGACACCTCCAGGCTGTGGCTCCTCGGCTCTGAACATTACGAACACTAAACCATATAAAACAGGTATAAACCTCTAGACATTTTTCGTACTGAAAGTTTATTCTATTCTATCGTGTTTAGTTTTTCATGTTTAATTATTTATCCGGCTTTTTTTTATCAGATCGTGAATAAGATACAGGATCATCGAAAAAGTATTCCCATATTATGATATAAGGATCAGTCTTTCTCGATGATCCTGTACACGAATGTAATGTTTGTTTGTAAAGGTTTAAGATGAATATTTATTTTTTTCGTTTAATTAATGTGGACATGTTGCTGCACTTTATCACTATGTGTGCCGTCAACTTGTTTATCCTAACAAGCACAGTTCACTTTCTCCACGCCTGTATAATATATATATATATATATATATATATATATATATATATATATATATATATATATATATATATATATATATATATATATATATATATATATATATATATATATATATATATATATATATTATAATTGTTATGAATGACTTATAATGTAACAATAACATTAGTTTAGCTGTGTGTGAACTAACTGGAGTCTCTCTTCTCTCACAGGTGAAGATCTGGTTTCAAAACAAGCGGTCCAAGTGCAAGAAGATCTTGAAGACAGTTAATTCTGGTGGGTCGTGTGTGCCACAGGGTGCTCCGGTGGGGCCCGGCTCTCCCCTCACCTCCTCCCCTCTGTCAGTCACCTCCCCTCTCATGACGTACACCACCCCGAACCCCATCAGTCCTCCTCCTCAGGCACAGTCGCCGTCACAGCCCTACACGACCTTGGGTCCTATCCAACACGGCCGCCCTCTCCCATCCCCTGGGACTTGTCCACCGGGGCACCCATACTGGACCCAACACCAGCAACATGACCTCACGTCCCCGCACTCACTCCCTCCTCCCCAGTCCTCTCAACCAGAGTCCCCCAACCCTCACGTCCAATCCCAGGTCCCTCACCACCCGCCTCACTTAGCCTCCTCAAACACTCTCACACAGCCCTCAAACCCGAACTATCCACCCCATGCAGCCTCCCCTCACTCCCACCCACCACCCCCACACTCTGTCCAGCTGCCCCCGCACGCCCACGGGCCCCCCCAGCACCCGCCCACACCCACTAGCCAGTCGCACGACAACCATGGTTCGCCCCACCTGTGTCCCCCTGGCCCGCCCGGGGCGCCGTGTCCACCTCCGCCCCAGCACCACATGAACCACCAGCCCCACGGGGGATACATGCCGCCCACCTCCATAGCACCGCCCGTATCCTCGGCTGACCACATGTCGCTGCCACCCTCTGCCTCGTCGCCCGGGCTGGCCGCCCACCACTGGGATATGAAGCCGCCCGCGCCGGCGCCCTACATGTACTCGTGGTACTCCCCTGACCAACAACATCTCCTCATTTAATTCATTTATATCAGCCACTGGTGACCCGAACCAGTGGCTACAGCTGCTTACAGGGTCACGAAAG